TTTTTTTTTTTTTTTTTTTTTTTTTTTTTTTTTTTTTTTTTTTTTTTTTTTTTTTTGGTTAAAAATTGGATAAGATAGACAGAAAAAATGTAGGTTTAAATCGAAACTCTCCCCCTTCCAATTAAAAAAATGAAGATTTTTTTTAAAAAAAAAAAAGTAAATAATTGAAGTAACATCCAAACACACCATTTTAAATTTATTTTTTGAAAAAATATGGACCAATAGATAAAAATATCTTCCTAGAATCTCTACTTAGATTTTGATCCATGAGCAAGACTAATAATATTCAATAGAGGGTGAGTCAAGTTAATAATATTAATTTGACTATTATCAACTATTTCTCTTGAATCCAGTTAAAAATATTATTCTATTCGATCTTAGTTTAAACGAAATCTACCTCAAATCTCTTCCAAAGAGTTCATTTTATTCACGTTTGTTCGATACAGAGGACTAAAAGAACGAATGATTCGATCCTTTGCAAAATATGACCAATCAGCTTTATTGATACACTTTTTGGCGACTCTATCTTCTTTGAAGAAGTAAAGTTTGAAACCCTGAGTGAAGTAGATAGATAAATCCCATCTCATTGTACAGATTGGTGGTTTGAGTACTTAGTGTCAATGACCAACTGGAGAAGAAATAAGATTATGGCAGTAAGGATAAGGACAATTGGACCGACAAACCATGAGACACCCCACAAATTGGACTGTTTGTTCACCCAGAATGGAACAAAACCTCGGAGACCAGGCCCATTACAGCCACCTGCAGCTCTCCTGTTTGGTCACAAGATTGAATCTAGTTCAAGATGCAAGCTTGCATCAAGCCAGGGCTCTTGGTGCTCTAATTCTTGAAGCATCAAAGATTCAAGCTTGGGGGAGTTGTTCAAGGTTGTGTTTTTTCTTTTAGTTTGTTCCTTCTGTACATTGTTTTCAAGTATTTCATTTTATTTGAGACCGACCCAAATGATTTAAGCAAAATATATAAACATCAAAGAATATAGATACAACACAGAATAGAAGTAGAACTTTACCAGCATCACTAGACTACTACGTGTTAATACAATTGGACCATATGGTTCAAGGAACATAAAACAGATGAAATACAGTGAAGTAGACAGAACTCGTTCGTAGTTAAACACTTAGCATTCACATCCTGTTGATCTTTGCTGCCGTCCACCCGCAACATCGATGGTGTCGGGAAGGTATCTGCCATGGCCCCAAGAAGGAATACAAGAATTAATGACAAGCAAGGGAAAAAAAAACTCCAACTAATAAGGGATTCAACAGAGTAGAGGAAGAACAAAACAACCACGTTAGAAGAAGGTAAGAAATTCTAGATGGCGGGTGTTCAGTTTTTGTGTATCCTCGTGATGTGCAAACACAAAAGATTCATTTGAAGAAATCACCAATAAGACCTTCAATACAATTGGAAAGAGAGACTTTTGAGGCATTTGAATGTATGATTGTCATGGATTGTGACTAGAACACGTCTTGGGTTCCAAAACTCTGAGGATACAGCTATTGCCCATACCTCAGCAAGAGAGTGAAAGATCTGTTGAAACTCAAGATGGATAGGGACATGGCTAAGGGACAATTGTGACACCCCACGTTGGTTGGAAAGGAGAACGAAACATTCCTTATAAGGAAGAACATATGTCTTGGGTTCCAAAACTCCGAGGATACAACTACTGCCCATTCCTCAGCAAGAGAGTGAAAGATCTATTGAAACTCAAGATGGATAGGGACATGGCTAAGGGGCAACTATGACACCCCACATTGGTTGGAGAGGAGAACAAAGCATTTCTTATAAGGGTGTGGAAACCTTATAAGGAAGAACACATATCTTGGGTTCCAAAGCTCCGAGGATACAGTTATTGCCCATACCTTAGCAAGAGAGTGAAAGATCTATTGAAACTCAAGACGGATAGGGACATGGCTAAAGGGCAACTGTGACACCCTATATTGGTTGGAAAGGAGAACGAATCATACCTTATAAGGGTGTGGAAACCTATTCCTAGCCGACGCATTTTAAAACCTTGAGGGGAAGCACGAAAGGGAAAGCCCAAAGAGAACAATATCTGCTAGAGGTGGGCTTGGGCGGTGGAAAATGGTATCAGAGCCAGTTACTGGGCGGTGTGCTAGCGAGAACACTAGACCCCCAAGGGAATGGATTGTGAGACCCCACATTGGTTGGAGAGGGGAACAAAATATTCCTTATAAGAGTGTGGAAATTTCTCCCTCGCATACGCGTTTTAAAACCTTGAGGGAAAACTCGAAAAGGAAAGACCTAAAAGGACAATATCTACTAGTGATGGGCTTGGATTGTTACACCAACCCTACTTATGAAATCCATTAAAAAACTGGTACTTTTTTTTTTATCACTATAAATCCATCGAACGTAATCAAAGTTTACATTGCAAACAAAAAGAAAACTGGAATCCTAACAAGAAAATGGAAGTATATCCCTTGCCCTTTTAGCTGGCTTTTAGCAGATATAACTATAACGTAATGTACACCCAAATGTCAACAGGAGTTCCCCCTCTTTTGGCTTTGTTCCTCAATTTATTTTCATCAAGACATGCTATATTCATGCTGTTTTTCAATCTACTTGAACAAGATTCCATAAAGATAGAATGTAGCTAAATGTGTAATCAATAAAAAGATGTCATCAGGGGGTAAATGAAGTGACACTTGAAGTTCAATTGAGTGGAATATACTTACACTTCTTCTTCCGGTTCATTCTTGAGGGCATTTTTGGCTATACACTGAAATGCAGCATCCACATTGAATCCTTCTTTTGCAGATGTCTCAAAGTAGGGTATGTTTCCTTTTGAAGCACACCATGCCCTTGCTTTCTTCTCTGAAACCTACAATGCCAATAAAAGATCCTTATGTCCATGCAATTTACTAGATGAGTATCTATCCTAAAGCAGAGAAGAACTATCCTCACTCTGGACTAGTAATTCAGATAGTCATGATACAAGCAAGATCAGGCAAAACTCACCACTCTACTGTTCCCACCATCAACATCGACCTTGTTCCCCAGTACGACAAAAGGAAAGTTTTCAGGATCAGATGGACTGGCCTAAACATAAAGAACAAAAAGCCTCCAGTAAGAATCAATCTATGTTGTCATAGGCTCATAACTATCAACGTTGGATCGAAACAACCTGAATCAGAAACTCTTCTCGCCAGTTGTTAAGATTATCAAACGATTTCATAACATTCACATCATAAACTAGAACGCAGCAATCAGCACCACGGTAAAAGGCCACACCAAGACTCTGAAACCGTTCTTGCCCAGCTGTATCCCAGATCTGCAATTTTACACCACATATGTAAATTGTCCATCTCAAGACATTACAAAGGAAGCCAAACACCACCTTGTCAACAAACTAAAAATGTAATAATAAAAAAGTTAAAATTAAAACAAGAATAAACCATTGGAGTTTTCTTATATAGGTTAAATTACAAGTGTAGAGCATGAACCTTCAAAATTGTATCTAATAGGTCATTAAAATATTAAAAGAAAAAGCCTAATAAGTCACTAAATTCTATATTATGTGTCTAATAGATACTTGGTTAAAGTGTCTAATAGATCTTTTTTTTAGGGTAAGAAACAACTTATCAAGTAGGTCTCTAAACTTTCAATTTGTGTCTAATCCGACCTTCATTATCTAAAATTCACAAACCTATTTGATAAGAATTGAGACATAATCATGCAATATAAACTTTAAGGAAGATGTGAGAAAATATTGTTCAAATTATAAAATATGTTTCAATTCATGCCACATTGGAGAAGAATCAAGCTTCATTGTCATAAAGTTTGGGTGGATCATTATGATGTTTCATTAATGCATTTTAGGACTTTTAACTTACTTTAGGTTACATTTATATAATGGTTAATTACGACCATAAAATATGAATGTTACAACTCTTGAAATGCCTAATGGAATGTCAAAGGTTTCTTTTTTAGGCTATATAAAGCCATGTATGTTGTATTTGTAAAAGAGACTTGGAAAATGTTATAAAAAGAGCATTTGTACTTTCCTTTAAC